AAGCGTCACACATTTGACCAAAGTAAGAGGAAAAGTAAGTAAAAAAAGATGTAAATCGAGATAAATCATTACTAAATCTTGTTCTTACAGATTAACAGTTCCTCTAACAGTGAGCCTGGAGGAACTAGTTTTTACGCCGAAAACAGGAATCTCAAATCAACTGCAGAAGAGGTAAACATGAAAAACAGAAATACACTTGGAACCAATTATTGATTAGTAAGGCTCTGAGGAGGCTTCTAATGGATTCCCCCAAAATGATACCGAACTGCGATTCATGTTTATATCTGTTTAACAAAGAAAGATATAAAGGCGAAGAGAGTCATGTTGCGCAACCGCGAGCTTAAAACAAACAAAGAATAAGCGTCCAACTACAGAGGAGAACGAAAAAAACAATATAGCTCTAGAGATAGAATAAGCGTCCACCGACAAGGGAGAACGGTAACAAACACTGTAATTAAAAAATGTTTTATGAAAGGATAGCGATTGACTAAAAATCTAAAAGGATAAGGATAGAAAAATTAAAGCAGATTTAAACACACTGCGCTTTTGAGTTTTGACGAACTCCTCCTTGAGGATAATCAAAGGTTACCTCCTTGTAATTAAGTTGCAATATTGTGACTTGAAGAATTTTTCTCTCTCTGTGAGAGGTACTCACCCGAAATTAAAAGACGTTTTAATTAATTAAATATTGCGTTCCATTATGGTGTTCCATAATCTAATTTTAAGAACCCTCTTCTTCGATCAGGTCCGTGACGTAAGTGGCGAGAACAAACCGGAGGCATACAACTCTGTCCCATCCCCTGATGACAAATTACAACCCACTGAAGCTGAAACTCCTCAGGCGGTTTTCTCGATTGAGCTTCCAAGGGGTGACGTTTTGACCGAGAAGAAAGACGAGGAGTGCAGTGATGATTGCGAGTCATTTGTTCCAGCTGATCTCCTTTCACTAGCTTGGCAGATTGCAAAAGGCATGGTAAGGTATAAATGTTTATACAGACGTCCCGAGACTAAAGTGCTTGTCCCATGTTCTTTGGCTTTAATAATTTAGCCTTGATACTTCATTTGGGTACTAATCAGTAATTCTAATACCAAATTAAAAAACAGACAAACTTCTTCGATGAGGAAGATTATGGAACCTCAATATTGTTGAGGAAATTCTGCATAGGAAACATTGTCCTATTAAGGTTCTCAATTTCATGCATATTTCCGAGAAGGGTCTCCTCCCCTTCAATCAATCAACAAATTGTTTTTACTATCTCATTGGTTAGGCTTACCTCTCCGGAAAGGGGCTCGTCCATAGAGATCTAGCGGCGCGAAACATTCTAGTCGGACACGGTAAACGGCTCAAGATCGCAGATTTTGGTCTAATGCGAGAAATGTACCACGAACTGTATGAGGTAAAAAAGCATTCAAAGCTGCCAATCAAATGGATGGCGCCTGAGTCACTTTACAAGCAGATATTTACGTCAAAAAGTGATGTGTAAGTAACTTTAATCCTTTTCCAGTTGCTTAACGAAACTATAGGTAATGTAATGACAGGGACTACAAACCAATGATAGCAGTTGATGATCACGACCAA